TATTTCTGGTGTAATTCTTGCAACTCTTTTTGTTTTAAAGAAGAATTTGATAAATGGACAAGCGGAAATAAGGATATTGATAATTTAATACAAAAATCACAATTAGAAGCAACAAGTAATTATAAAGTACTTGAATGGATCCCATACGAAAAATTTGAAAATATCGTAAAAATTGGTGAAGGTGGTTTTGCGAAAGTTTATTCGGCCGATTGGAAGGAAGGGCCCATCTTATTTTGGAACAAATATGATCGATGGAAGAGATCCGGGGAAATAAGGGTAGCATTAAAATGTTTAAAAAACTCTCAAGAAATATCTAAAGAATATTTGGAGGAGGTAATAATTTTATTATCAAAATAAAATTTTAATTCCTTTTGTATCGCGTAATAATATTAAATATTTATTGATGCGATCATTTAGAAGCTTATATAATTACTTTACTGATAATAAATTTAACTTTAATTCTAGGTAAAAAACCTTCATAAATTAAACGATAATGAATCACAAATTACCAGATGCTATGGAATCTCCAAAGACAAAAATTCAAACTTTATGATTGTTATGAATTTTGTTGATCATACTAAGGTGATCCACAGGATATCATGGAGAGAGAAGATTCATCGTTTACATTATACTGCACTTGGATTATACAAAATTCACAAATCCGGATTAGTTCATCGAGATTTTCACCCTGGAAATATCCTTTTTTCTAATAAGGATGATAAGGTTTACATAACAGATTTAGGATTATGCAAACCAGCCAATTCAAAAGAATGTGAGGATAAAATATACGGAGTTCTTCCTTATGTAGCGCCTGAGGTTTTTCATGATAAGATACATACAAAGGCTGCAGATATTTATTCATTCGGAATAGTTATGTGCGAAGTATTTTCTGGCACTTCTCCTTTTAGCGATGTTGATTGTGAAAACGAGGAAGAAAGCAAAACTCTTGCAATTGAAATCTGTAACGGGATGCGACCAGAAACTCGAGATCTGCCCCCTCTAATAGCTGAATTGATAAAAAAATGTTGGGATGCTAATCCAGCAAAACGGCTATCCGCAGAAGACTTGTATAAAGTTTTAAATGCTCGGAAAGATTTTGGATCCGATTCTGAACTTGCCAAGCAAATTAATGCAATTGAAGTGAATCAGGCGCGTCAACCAATTAGTTGTACGAGTGAACAAATTAATACAAGTCAACTTCTTCGTACAAGCAAACTTCTTGATTTTAAAAATCTTCCACAGCCCAAAAATTCCGAAATTGAGATGAATAAAACAACTTAAGAGCAGTTTTTTAGAAGTGATTTCATCCACAGCCAAAAAATAATGCTCAAGGTAAATAAAATATACCATAATAAATTTTGATAAGTACTATTTATTAATTAACTTACAATATTTGTTGTTTCTTCCTTTGTTAAGGGCTTTGTGTAGATTATATATATTTATTTGTTAGGTTATTTTATTTTTATTATATTTGTTTTTAAATTTAACAACATAATATTTTATAGTTTAATCTTGATAAACTGGTCTTGTGTGTACAAATATGGATTTCTAATTAAAATATATTTAAATGGTGATAGGATAACATATATAGTAATGTACTTTATATATTAATATTAATCATGTAATACTCAAATTACTCTATTAATAAAGATCATGAGAAATGCATTGCTTAATATAAAAAAAAAAGAAATATTATATTTATCAAAACAGTGTCCAGTAGGGCTATAGCGCATTGGTAAATCACTGGTACATCAGTACTAGTATTACAGGTTCAATTCCAAGTAATGGCGACAGGCTGTGGACCTATTTCAGTGAGTCACGTCATTGATCGACTGCATGCTGCATATGATGCAAGTATACGTGCCTAATAATCCCAGTTGACATCTCGCAATCCTGGTTGGGGTCTTTCTAATGAATTCTAGTTGTATTGGCAAGCGCTTTGTTTGACTACAAGTTCAGTGTGGAGTGCAGAAGATAAATTGACAACCATCACTAAAGTGTCACATGTGCTATAAAATACCCACTGGTTGGCCCAGGCTTGAAGTAAAGCCCTGCCTAAACTTTGGAGACAATATGTAGAGCTGGTAAGCATCAGTTGCCTGACTACCAGATATATACAATGTATAATGGCTATAACTGGGAATTAACACTTCTCAAAATTTTGGACCTGTGGGTCTATAGCACAGTGGTTAGTGCTTCGCAGGTCAGATCACAAGATAATGGTTCAAATCCTCCAGAGGGCTAACGTGGAAATCTCAAACTGGAAGAAAAGAATTGGCATCTTCTGATTGCCATTACAAGATACCAAGTTCAGTTCCAGGTGAAGGCAATTGGACCATCTCAAAATGATATTTGGTGCCATAACCTAATATGCACTGTTTCCTATAAGAAGCCAAATTCACATGTTGATTCAATGAGCATTAGGATTGTGATACTAAGAAAGGTATAGTGGTATGATGATCGTCCAGCAGTGTTATGATAATTGTTGTCAAGTTTGGTGCTTTCCCCTGTTTTTCATACATGGAGCATGCTTTCTTACTCCTTTAGTCTACAAGACTATAAAAGAAACAATCCGATTTTTCAAAAGACCAAGCTAGAGCCACAAAGACTTCTTGTTGGATATGACTAGTCCATGGCTGATCGTATTAGGATATGGTTCTTTAAGTTTCTATTCATCAGATGATAAGTGGAACTGGAAGGTGCACATCCTGGCACATTAGCACTCTATCTATGCTATCAGGACCCTGGTGTTGATAATATAGGAAGAATGGAGGGCAATAAGCTGACCAGTGGGTAAGTCATAAGAACTTTCTCTAGGTAGTTTCATTAGGTAGATAGGTGGTAGTCAATTCCCATAAAGGGAAAATACATGTACTGTAAATTCATACCTAATAAAACAAGGTGTACATCAGTCGTCAAAAAAAAAAATGTATATATATATAACGTATATAAATAATCAATTACTAATTAATCAGTGATTGGGTAATCATAAGAAAACTCAAATACTTTCTGCTCTCATCATTTCTTAACCAAAAAAATCTTAAACAGCTTCAAATAAAAATCAACAAACTCATAAAGTCAGTTTACAGAATCTCTTTCAAATGTTCCAACACAATACTAATCAGCCAAAATAATTTCAACCTATTAGCAATAGAAAAAAGGCAAAAAACCACATTGGTAGGAAACCTCATATCCAAATTTGCCATTCCATCTGTTAGGAAATATACCATATAAGACATTCGGTCTATCCAAATGAAAGAGGCAATATGGTTCTATCCTATATGTGACCCAGAGAAATTTAATCAAGATAATTGGATTCTTTACATAGCAAGAGCAGCCAAAGATCTCAAAATCCACATATGTCCAACAGAGTATATGTTCCATTGGGGCAACACAAAGAACTCAATTGGCTTTCTATTTACAGGTTTACAATCCCAATCCAAAAAAACAGCAATAAATACAACAAACACACTTAACCTGAGGTTTACTAATCAGCTACTAAAGTTCAACAGCACCATCAAGCTTACATGGTACCAACTTGTCTCATATACAGGAATAATTCATCTTGGCCCAAAATCAAATTGGTTCAAAACCTTTATAAACAACAAGAATCTTATAGGATCACATGGTCCAATACCAAATCCTAGAGCAACATTTTGATTTATATATAGTTCAAATGCAATAGTTAAGATTCACAAGAGACGATCATTAGTGCAAGAAGGAATGATGCTTAAGGAAAAGCACTTTACAATAGATCTAACTAATAACCTTTTCAGGTGTCCAAAAAGCCCAACCAGTATACAATCACATGGCTTTTGCTGAATAACATTCACAAGCTCAACAGCATTAACTTTATAGATATCCCTCAATCTATTCAGTATCAACAAATATCAACTATTAAACATTATTGATGAAACTATCAACTTATTATGCAGAAGCAAACAAACTCTCCAATCAATCAACATTAACAATAACTCATCTCTCAGAGCATCACTTCAAGAAGTGGGATATCACCAATACTACCATATTCAATTCTACAAAAGTTATTTAGTTATCAACAAGTGAAAGATAAAACTTTCTAGTACCTGTTTAGCTCCTGACAGTATTCTATTAGCAATACTCGATATTATTCAATGGAGCTCTCAGTTAAAGATGGGTCCCTAAATTAAAGGCGAGGACATAATTCAAATGTCCCTCACTATTAAAAAAGTTTTTTTAAAAATATAAGGTTAAAAAAAAACTACCTACAAAGGTTTTTTGCAATTTAGGTCACTTAATCCAAGTGTTTTTTGAATCATGTCCCTATTAAAGTAATGAATAAATAATTATATCTCTTTAAAAGGAACATTATTGATCTGTGAAATTTTATATACTAAATAGTTTAGGGACCTATCCTTACATCATGGTTGTTACTGTCTTATAAGCAAGAGAATTCATCTCTGGATCTGGAATCTTGGCAAAAATGATAGAATCGTAATCATCCATGAATCTTAACTTATCTTCTGGTACCAGTATTAATAAGATATGTACATAAGATAGACTATATTTTTGAAATTCTATTACATATACATATGCAATAACTCTATCAAGTTAACAATTATGATATAGGTCTCTTAATAATTCCTGTAATTTTATATGAAACACATGGACTGTTAAATCGGGTCTGTCAACAGCGTTCTGATAAGGTAATAATTCCCTAGTAACTTCTAACCACTTTGGATTACATATGAAAGTTACAAAAAGATTGGATTTTTTATAGTGACTTATGATGATTATTGTATCTTGATACAACTGATATATTTGACATGGCCCACCAGTAAATTATGATGGAAGGATTATACAGTGACCAACATTGTTGTTGCCATTTTCAATATGTATTGCATCTGTAATACCTTGGTATAATTCAGTTCGAAGTAATGCCTGGTTATATCTGATGTAATTTAAACGATTTTGCTCTATTTTAGCATATTGATCAACAATATACTGTTAATATAAACAGCCTATACTCTGTATCCAATCTCCATTCCTAATTTGCAGCCTGTAACAGTAATATTGCATTGCTATTACTTTATCTCTTTTCTTAGCACCTATGAGAGATATATCAAAATGCCAACCATCGTTACCTCTTAGGAATAGTAATATATAATGAAGTGGATTATATGACAGACAAAATTCTGATATTCTTTGTAGACTTCCATTGCACAATCTAAAAAGGATATCTCGACTGGATGATTTCATCTCATAACCATTACCAACCATAATTATAGCTACTTTAGAGGCTGTAGAAGAACCATACCAACCAGGATCTTATATTCGATTACTATGAATTAGTATTGAAAATTCAGTGGTCACATTTTTTTGAATAAGGTCTCTTATTTGATAAAAATTTTGGATATATAGATTGCATTCATCTAACATATCCTACAAATTCTTTATAATATTTTTATTTAATTCTCACATAATATTACACTGATTTTCATCTTCATGCGCAGTATTGTAAACATATAGTTAAGCAAATATAGGCATGTGATCTGCTGACAATAATAATCCAATATGATAATAAACTTGGCTATTAATTTGGAAATTAGACACTCCTCATTCTTAAAATTCATTTATATTAGCTCTAAATGATGTGCATGCTAAAATGTTATTATAGCCTCTAATTTTTTTGCGAAATGAATCAGTATCAGGTTCAATTAATGTATATAGATCCAGCAAATATAATGGTGATTTAGATAAAGATTGTAAATGAACTTTACTGTGGGCACAACAAATTGCAAATGTTGAAGATCCATGACTGCTATTGTGATTCTTTTTATTTATTCAAAATTTGGCGTTACAATAGGTACATACCTGATCTATTCTCCCCAGTTAATGACATTCTAGTCTTTGTTTTCGATTAACTTGAGTTTTAGCTTTTTTAGCTTTTGATCCTATAGTATTGGAAATGGTCTTATTTGAAATGGTAGGCTTATTCGATTCTGGCACGTTATCTATAGATTCAATACTGCTCTTAATTATAATAGATTTATCCAATTTTGGTATGTAACCTATAGATTCAATACTACTTTAATCACAATAGAAGGATCTGGCTCTGTTATATAATCTAGATGTTCAACAGATTCAATGCTAGTCTCATTTACAGTAGGCTTATTCGATTCTTTCACATAATTTAGATGTTTTTTAATAGATATAACACTACTCTTATTTATAGTTGCTTCTATTATCTTTGTGTGCTCTCCAATTTTCCTTACTATATTATTTATTTTTGATTTTTTTTTATAATAATTTTTCTGCCTTTTCCTAGCAAGCCGTCTCTTTCAACACTGTTTAGATATTTTATTAGGGTTTTACCTATGCATTATTAGAGTATTGATAAAAGGTTCTTGAAACAATTCTCCATTATGCGAATCTAATATCATGTGATCGTAATGAATGATTGGGCAAAAGTACCTACCTAAAAGGAATAATAGATAGCATGTTTTTATAGAAAACCTGAAACGATATTTATGGTCTCTTAGAAGAATCAATTTTAGGGTATCTTTATTAATATAAAGTCAAATCTCTTTTATTATAGAAAAAGCTCTTTATTATCATGTCCTACTGATTACCAGCAGTTTCGGTAAAGATCTATATATCAGTTAGAATAACCAATAAATAGTTATTAATTGATATCATTTAGAATATAATTGTTTATCTATTAGAATAGATTACATTAATTTTCAATTTTCATTTGATAAGCCTTATAATATGTACCCATAATATAAATAATTTATTAACTTATGTTCGATACTTATAAAGAAGTAGTTTTTTGTTCCACGCACTATAGTAATGGAGTAATTCACCTTAGATTAATTGTTAGTTTAAGTCCTTAAGTAGTTCTTCAATTCTATCTATTATATAGTAAGTACTTGACTAATTATTTATATATATATTAAATTAAATAATATATTAAGTAATTAACTATCTTATTTAAATCTGTAAGCATTTTCTTATTTTCATTTATCATTTAGTAAGTTTCTTTTATATATTATATTATATCAATAAGTATAACTAATATCATATTTAAACTGCAAATAGTTCACTATCTTAATTAAATCACAAGTAACAATCATAATTAGTTTCTATTATCTGTATAATTTTATGAAGATTAATAATATAAATTTCTTACAATAAGTTATGGGATTCCTATATGATTTGAATGAATCTGATTATATAATCTAGTGTAAATAAACGAAAATTAAAGAACTTAAGAAATTATTTTCATATTTAAGAAGAAATATCTACCTTATGATTATTACTAAGGGGAAGATACTGTGAGCAGATGTTAATTCTCTTATAGAACTTATCTAGTCTTGATTAAATCACAAGTATAATCTAAATCTGTTTCTATTATCCATATAATTTTACAAAGATTAATGATACAAATTTCTCATAATAAGTCAAAGGGTTCCTATGTGATTTAAACGAATCTGATTAAATAATGTGAATAAATGAAAATAAAAATCTCAATAAAATTATTTTCATATTTATTTTATAATTATTACGAAGGGAAGAATATTGTGAGTAGATATTAATTCTCTTATAGAATAAATCTAGTTATATACTGATGTAACAATTTTTTCTATAAATAAGTTTCAAAAAGATATAAAGAATTTCATTATAATGAATTTCTTTTAAAAAGAGATTGAACAAAGTAAAAGACTAAATTCTTTATCACTGTCATATAAACCTTACTATATATATCAGAAAAAGAGAATTACAGTTCAATAAAGACACATTTTTGGTCATTTTGAAGGATATTATTTTTGATCCATCAAACTAAACCATACCTGATAATATGAGATTAATTGATCATAGACATAAAATAAAAATTATCATACATTTCTTATGAACCTTAATGTTTTATGAAACAAATATGAAAACATGCACAAAAAAATATACCATCTGTAATTATAAATCATAGAAGACATGAAATTTTATTTTTGATTTGATCTATAAATTAATCATTAGCAAAAGTTACATACTTTTTTTTAACATGATTTGTTAAATAATTAAATAATTTTCTAATGAGTAAAATTTTATTTATATAGGATAAATTAAATATCAGCATTACACATATAGGTTACACACATTTATTTTTAATATATATAATTGATAATTGATATATAAATATAAATATTATTAAAATATATTGAAAATTTCTAAAAATTAATATATAAATTTTTGCTTCAAAGTTTTCTAGAATTCTATGCCTAAAAATTTTTAAAGATCTTTACCTAAAAAATTTCTTGATATTTTTTTCTATTTTTTTATTCTATTAAATATTTTCTTTTTTAATACTTACAAATATATAATTCTAATTTTGTTTTTATAGTATTTGCTAAAAATATATTTTGTAGTTTTCTATTTTTTGTATCAAGAATATATCTTGTTTTTGCATATATTTGATTTTTTTTTATTTAGTTTGTTATTGATAAAGAGTTTTTTGTTAAGCAGTTTATATCTAAATATTTTTTTTTTTTTTTTATCGTAAAAGGACATTAAATGCAAGTCTTTATTAAATTGTATATATATGATACATGAGTTACATCAAACATCTTTACATAATAACTCTATGAATTAATGTTAACCTATCTACGATGCTAGCTAAAGCGATCCTCCTTACACTTAATGTAGATTGGATTAGCGTTAATGCTGGATGGTTAATGCCCTTTCAGAATTAAAGTAAGGTCTTGAGACTTTAGTATATTTGTTTGAATGATTTGTTGTAAATTGAAATATACAATGATTTTGTTCAATAAATCTGGTTGTGCTTTAGATAATTCTTTTGATTTGGTAGTTGTTTATTTCGAAGTAGATTTTTTCCACTTGATGCCTGATACTATTGAGATATTAGCTGTTGTGGATCTGGGTAACCATACTAGTGAGTATAAAAGCTTAAGAGCAGAGTTTATTAGTTTGGTCCATGCTTTTTTTGAGAGCTAGATTCTGAGAGTTGTTATTCCACATGCTAGGTCTTCGAGATTTGACTTTCTGTTGATGGTTAGAGTTTGTAAGTGGCGAACTGAGTCTGCTGCTGTTATTTTGGCTTTGCTTGTCAGTACGAGTTTTTTGATTTTGGCTATGATTTTGTTTTCTATTTCGCTATATGCTGCTGTGTTCTTATAGCATTCGAACACATGTCTTTGTGTCTCGGGTGTAACCAGGCATCTGGGGCAAAGGTTGTTTTTGTACAGTTCTGGGTATTTTTCATGTAGAATTTGTCTTGTAGAAAGAGTACCACTAAGTATTTTGTATTTGAAAGTGAGTAAGGATGAGCAGTTGAATTTGTCCTTTTTTATAAGGGATTTGTTGGTTGTAAGGAGTAATTGGAGAGATTCTGTGTCAAATGTTTGGTTCCATCTTTCTTTGATCATTGAGCTGTTGATGAGGTCTATCAATCTATATGCTTGTTGAATTTTTTTGACCCAATGTGTTGGTCCTATATCCCATATATTTTTAATTCTTGGGCTTGTTGTGTAATTGTCGATTGCTAGAATATTGTTAATTGAAACAATGTTGTCACTTTCTTGAGATGCTGAGATGCAGGTCTGTTTGCGTAAGATTAATTTGATCTCTTTTATAGTGCATAACTCTTTGATGTGACTGATCAGATAACTATAAGAGATTTTGACTCTTTGGTTAAGATAGCTTAGAGTGTCCAAATATATAGTAAATAGAATATTAATAGTTATATAAGTTTGCTTCTTGATGGTTGCTAAAAGTCCTATAATTGCTAGGAGTATATTGATAGGTTAGTTGTAATCTGAGTGCAGTGTTAGATTGATTTTCTTATTTTTTATAAAAACCAGATTATCTTTTGTTGTCAGGTTTAGAATAGGGAAAGGGCAGATGTTTGTTATTAATTGCTTGATATTTTCTATCATGTTTTCGTTCAACTGGAGGATGTTCTTGGTGAGTGGATTGTTGTCAATCGAGACAATAGGAATAGTATTAAGTTCAGAATGTTTTTGCAGCTGTTCTAATATTTCTTTGGGAGCATTGGCTAAGTAGTCTTGATTGTTTTTTTTATAGGTCCAGAGGGACATAGCTTTATGATCAGTTGTGATGGTGTGTGCACTGATGCTATGGCATTGACATTTGGTGAGCACTTTTCTTAAGTCAATAATAGAATGAGAACCCTTGAGTGGCTGGCTTGTGTCTCTGTTAATTCTTGCCTTTATAAATATTACTTGGTTATTTTCCATACTGGCCTA